AGGATGTATTGATCTCGTGAATTAGCGAATTTTACTATACAAATATTTTTTAATTGGATGTTAAAGTTTATATGGGAATAGTACATTACACGCTGATCCTTTAACAATGCATTGACGCAAAAAACGAACACCTTTTGGACAAATCTGCCACAAATATTTAGACAAATGTGCCACAAATACTGCCTAAGTGACACATAGACAGCAGAGGGAGCCAGAGGGCACCGTGACAGTATTAACACTATATCTCCCCATGAGCATGGTAATTACATTTTACACACGGCGGTAATTCAGTTTGGCTTTACCTGGCAACGCAACATTAAATATATATGCCTGCCTGTGGAAAGAAAAAAAAAGGTGGCACAGGTGCTGCCTGTGGAAAGGAGGTGGGCACGGGTGCTCCCTGGGGGGAAAGGGCAGGAACCAGTGCGCCATGTGGAAACAAAGCAAGCTTGGGCATTCCCTGTGGGGAACAAATGAGTACTCTCAGTGGGGTCCTGATGTTGTTGGGTGCTCCCTGTGGGAAAGAAGCTTGAGGGAGAAGAAGGCTCTGCCTTTACCTCTGCTTTTGCATCTTCTGCTTAAGTATACTGAGTTTTGTTCCTATTTGTGAAGCTGCCACTCTTCCAGAAAAGTGTTTTCCGCACTGCTAAAAAGTGGAGGATTATAGTATAATATGGCATACAAATTATATCATATCAGTTTATATTCCAATAAAAAGATTTCTGAATGCGCGCGCTTTATTTGACGACTTGTGGACTGTTCAACTGCAACACCCACTGAGTGCAATGATAGAGCTTGAAATAGCAAGGACAATTTTTAATATAACTCCGACTGGATTCGTCTGAAAGAAGAAAGTCATACACCTAGGCAGTGTTGGGGAAAGTTACTTTTAAAAGTAATGCATTACAATATTGCATTACTCCATAAAAAAGTAACCAATTACGTTACTTAGTTACTTTTTATGGAAAGTAATGCGTTACGTTACTTTTGCGTTACTTTTTAAGTCTGGACAGGGCTTGCTTGTTTGTTTTTAAACATAAAAAATGTTATATTTTTGGCAAATATAAAAGCCTTTTCACACCAAAAGTGAAATGAATAAGCCTCAGGCTGACAGTAGAATGCAGAAGAAGAAATTTCAACACACTTCAGCAATAAAAAAAGACACACAAATGTTTGTCTAGAGTAATTTTAGCTTATTAGTACGGTTGAACTGGATCATCGAAGGTCAGAAGCAAAGACATTGGTTAATAGAATGGGATTAAATACATAAAGGATATTTGTGTTGTTTAACATTAATTATTGCAGGTTTGCGTCATATTCTGAGTTGCATTATTTTTATTCATTTTGAGGAATACTGAATCCGTGTTTTTGTTTTTTGTGAGCGAGATGAATTAATGCATATTCATATTTATTTTAGAACTACAATAACATCTGATTTCTCTCAACATGGGGACAGGAGAGCTGTCAATCAATAAATTGGAAAAAAAAAGTAACTTGCGTTACTTTTTTGAAAAAGTAACTCTGATATTCTCTTGTAAATGAAAAAGTAACGAGTTACTTTACTAGTTACTTGAAAAAAGTAATCTGATTACGTAACTCACATTACTTGTAATGCGTTAGCCCCAACACTGCTCCTAGGATGCTTCGAGGGTGAGTAAAACACAGACTAAAATCCACTTCCGTTTTAGCCCCTGATTATTTCAAATACGTAGGCCTACAACCTATTCCCCAACTTTTGTATCACATAAGCAAATATTAACCATCAATAGCAGTTAACAAACCTTTTTACAGTGAATGTCAGCAGTAGCTATATAAAATTTGTACATTTAAACAAATTCTAAATTCGAATCCTTGTTATTCTAGAGCAAAGAGAGCTGCCAGGATAAACCCACACAAACATGTGCACTTAAACATTTCATATTTTGAATATTAAAATACAATTCAAACATTACAACTGAAAACATGTATCTAGAAAAGCATAGTCATATTCCTAGGCATTCAGAAGGTCATAGAGTTTTATGTTTGTTAAAGCAGCACTATGTAACTTTTTCTGTGTTCAAAATGTGCAAAATGTATATAAGGAGCGAGTACATCATGAATCCATCTTCCGAACCGCGTTTTTGTCTTATTCCGAATCACTACGGACGGTACACTTATAATAAGTACTTATATTTGGACTATTGTAGCCTGGTCGGGTCGTCACCGCTGCGGAGTAACACATACCTGCGTGAATCGCCTTAGACATAAACTTAGAGAAGTAGCTCCGGTTGGAATGTTCTTCCGCGGGATGTGTGCAGTTCTGTTTATTAACCGCTAGAGCGCCAAAAGTTACATAGTGCTGCTTTAAGACTAGGTCCAAATTTCACATACATGTATTTATTTCTTTGTTTGCTTGTTTATTCAGAGTTTTTAATATTTCTCAGTTTATAATTTAGTTTGTTTCTTAAAAAGTGTCGTTCAACTACAATTGGCACAAATATATCCTGACAACCTTCACCTACTTTGCATGTCATGCTATTCACACTTGCACCGTATGAGGGCAGCAAAACAGAGGCAGAAATACTCTCAACTCCCAGCCAACCCTCCCCACGTAAACTGTGAAGGTTGTGTTAGTTGTAGTTTCGCGTGGACTGCTAAAATTGACTTTCGCTATCGGAATCACGCAGATGTGGATGTTTAACTTTGAGGACGCGGCGGTGTTCAGTGCGTGAGGTAACGTTAAATCTCCTCATCCAGTTGTTATTGACAACACGACAGCCTCACGGATGCTTTTGAAATGTCTTTGTGCCTCAGTGGTCTGGTTTTATCCTTTGCAGGGCGATATGAATATTCCTCTTTTTGTAAGTAACGTAAATGTAGATGAACGTATAGGTATAAATAATAGAAATATCTCTTTTTGGTTAATGATGACAGTTTAAAGGCTAATGGCTAGTATTCTGGATCAATCAATGCACTTTCACACCCATTTATTAAAACATCTAGCACAACAGTGTGGAATATTTGGAGAGATTTTGTGTAAATATTATTATTTTATGACTTGTTTATTCAAGCAGGCTTGTTTTGATTGCTCTCTGATATGGTAATTCAAAGGTGTGAATGCTAACCATGCTAAAGTGACATGAACATTGAATGAATGGAGATCAGATTTGTTTATCTAAGCTTTATAACATTCGCAAGACTTTTATTTGTCTCTTAAAAGCAAATAAGCCAGATGAGTCTACCCTTTAATAATAAATCATTTACTTTATTATTAAAATGCATGCTCATTGCCATGTTTAACTTATTTGTGTGTTCAAAGATCTGACTGGGTAACTTAACCCTGTTTAGCAGAAGTGTGTCAGTTCTAAAAGCCCGGGCAAGGGTTAATACACTGTTTCAAATTCATTTTAGATGGAATTTTAAATATTGTTTCATATAAATATTACTTAATTGAATATATTGTATACTAGAGAGAGAGAGAGAGATAGTATAAATAATGTCTTATAAGTTTACCTCTTAAAACTATATTTCATCTGTTAAAGGTTTTTTTCCACATCATGTCTAGAATTAAGATCTAATCATAACCTTCATTAACATTCAAGTGGATTTTGGGGTAATATGGTGTTGGTTTATATAATAAAATAAAAAATAATCTGACCCTCCTCATTTTTCATTTCCATAATAACATATAATAATAAAAATAATACATATAATGACAGCAATATTGATAGCATTTCTTTTGTACATAAAACGTAATTGTACAAATAAATACAAAATAATTAAAAGATTATGTATATTATATGTTATATTTATTTTATAGAGTTCTTCCCAGTGGATATATATTGCTGTACATTTCACACTGGAATAATTTTTTTGTCCTATATGGACTAAAACGAAATAAAGACAAAATGAACTATTAAAACAAAGCCCATACTGATGGACCACACTGACTGTTTTTGTTATAAATGTACTAATAGGACACTTTTGACAAAAGCATAATTAAATAGTAAATTTGTGATCATCATGATTTATTGTTGTATAATAAATATAGTAAAGATGTGGTTTCCTGTTTCTCTCATCAGATGTTTATCATCACAGAAATGTGCTGATGTATGGGCTCGGCAGTTTGGCAATAACATGTCGTCCACTGAGACTGCCAGGGAGTTCCAAGCTAAAGAGCGCAAATGCAGAAATCAGCTGAAGAAGCGATTGGCAAATGCTCTGTCAAGAGATCTTAACCGGTAATTAGCACCTTTAACATGAAAGACCTTTGCTATTCTTTTTCAAATCTTGTCTGAAGTTTTCAGAGCCTGGAATATCATTGTTGTTATATGATGCACCCTTATAAACCAGTGTAGTCAAATCACGCCAACCTGCTGTAATGTTTACAGCTCATGCCGCTCCCTAATATGCAAACTGTGAGCTTTTGCTTTATGTGTACATGCAGTCTGCGAATTGAAAGTTTGGAATTTTAAAAAAGAGAGACGTTTTTATTAAAAATATTTATTAAGACATTTTTTTATTAGGACATTATTTTAAATAAATAATTCTGTTCACCAGTGTAGCATTAAAAAAGACAGCATTTAAGGAAAAATAGATATTCAATAGAATATGTCAGTACCACACATCTGATATTAGATTTATTTACTTATTTCTCTATTGATGTTGATATTTTTCGTCATCGGATTGGATTTCGATTTCGTTATTGAATATTAAAGGGGTCATATGATGCTATTTTAAAGATCATTATTTTGTGTATTTGGTGTAACAGAATATGTTGACATGCTTTAATGTTCAAAAAACACATCATTTTTCAAATACTGTTCATTGATGTAGTTCCTCTATGCCCCGCCTCTCTCAAACGCATTGTTTTCTACAAAGCCCCTCCTTCCGACAAGCACAGTCTGCTCTGATTGGCCAGCTGACCCAGTGCATTGTGATTGGCCGAACACTACAAGTACTCATCGGAAATGTAATGCCCCTTACCATAATCGCGAGCTTCTTCTTCAGCTATCAACATAAATGTAAAGACGGTAAATAATGTCCTTAGTTTTACCATCAGTTCAAGCCCGAAAGGGGAACAGAGTTGTGTGACAGACACAGTGGTGATGCTCGTATGTATTTGCAGTACACAAGCCACGGTTAAGAAAGCTGACTCCACTGTGATGTGACCCTGTCTCTCTCTCAGGCACACACACACACACACACACACACACACACGACTCGATACTCTACACGGCGCAAAACTCCGCATTTGAACAGTCAATATCAAATAATTAAACTATTAAGAAAACATACTTACAGTAGCTGATTCAGAATAAGCGCCAGATTGTCATAGCAAAGTCGGAATTGACCCATTTTTTTTTAGAGATAGCCTTTGCACAGCCAGCCTTGTAGGCTACTCTCCTAGGTTCACAAAACTGTCGTCCATAAAATGCGTTGCACAAAATCGAACATCTAGGTTGTGCTGTTCTGTTGTAAATAAATCTTAACCAATGATTCCTCATTGCATCTGCTTTCGGAAGGCCAAATAAAGTGCTTTTGCTTTCACACTGAAACACACAGCGTATACCTGACATGGGTGCATCAACACTACTGCGGTTCCTGAAACCATGCCTTCTTTCTTTGCATGAACATTTGGGCGGCATTACGCAAATATTTCCACATCGTGACGTAGAGATGTGGGGGCGTGTTTGAATGAGGCGTTTTAGCCCGGTCTGGATCAGCCTTCTCTTTTAGATAGAATAAATCCTTTTGTGGGAGACTTTGAGATCTGTAACTCTGCAGATCTTATACATGCACAAATAGCATGTATAGCATCCACACTAAAGAAAAGGAAAAATATAAATCACATCATATGACCCCTTTAAATTGTGCATGCTCATTTCCTCTATTTTTAGATTTATATTACCTTTGCTGTCATCTGACACTCAATTAATTTAAATTTTAGAACCCCTAATAATTAAATTATTACTAATAATTTAAGCATTGTTGATTTGTAATCTCATCGTGAATATTTTTTTTTTTCCACACTGCACATTACATTGTTGTGATGCCTAAATTCACTTAGCAGTTAAAATGATTTTAGTTTTCAGTGTTTTTTATTTTTAATTTATTTTGACAAAATAGTATTTGAACTGTAATATTCGCCATTTATTAGTTATTGCCCATAATAATACAATTATTATCAACTAAATTATCAGTATTGGCCAGAACTGTAATATTGGTACAACCCATACTATTGTTCTTTTGAGTGAAGAAGACTGTTCCATGCACCACTTGTCTTGAAAGAAGAAAGCAAACATGTTTTCAGTGATTCCCAACTGTTGAAAGGTACCCTTTTTCATTCCAAACTGAAGTTCACTGTAGACTTTTGCCATCTGTAAGCTTGTGGCATCACACTCGGTGCTGTAATTACTACTGATGGAACAGCAGTTTTAGTGCAACTCCCTTCTCCACTTCATCTCTCTAAGCTTACATCAGAGGAGAGAGGACTGCAGTCACACCAACACCCAGCATGAAGGCCTAGGGCAACTTAGGATTCTGGGTCACCTAGATTAGTCGCACTGCAGCAGAAGATGCCAAAACGATGCTGACAGTGATGTTGATGTGGATGTGAAGTTGAAGGGAGAGATTTAGTACCTCCGGTATATGTGATACTTAATAATAGTTTTCCTTTCCTCTTTCTTGGACTTTATATGCTGCAGTACTGTAGAAGCCTGTTTATGGCTAGTACCAAAAATAATAAAAAAGGTAATTGCAGCTTTATATCTTACAATTGTGACTTTGTGTCTCACGGAGTGACTTTATCTCTTACTTCTCATAATTGAAAATTATTTCATAATTTCAACTTTATATCTTATAGTGTGACTTTTTCATATTTGAAACTCAGGAGGAAACAGGCTTCCGTAACACTATAGAACCTTAGAATATAAATGTATGTCTGTTTATACAGCAATTCTAGTGAAATTGTTAGTGTTAGATTAAGAATTTTGGTTTTAAGCCCAGATTTTGAACCACTAGGCTACATTATTTTTGCCTATTTTACTTGCATTTTCACCCCTAATACACCCTTAATAAGTAGCATTAAAAAATCTCTCAGCAGTGTTTTGCTGATTGAGGCAAAATAGCAAGGGGTGCTGACTAAATGTTATTCCAGTAAAGGAACTGCTGCATTTGGTTTTATGTTATTTTGATGAAGATCTTGTTCTCTAACAGGCTGCTGCAGGAGGAGCAGGAGACTGACGTCACTCTGTGTGGGGGTTCTGCTGTTCGGCTGAAGGCCCACAGGGCGGTGCTGCTGGCCCGAGCTCCTCACCTCCTGCATGGAACCGAAGCAACTACACCTGTCATTCACCTGCAGGGGATTGAACCTGCAGCCCTCAAGGACTTTATACAGTACATAATGGAATTTCCTATATTTCTCTACACCAACTTGATTATTACTATTATTAATTGCATTAAAATTAAAGGTGTTTTTCTTCTTTTAAAAATGTAAAATAAATCCATGGATCAGTCTTGTACCAGTCTGTGAAAGACTTGAGCTACATGTGTTTAGTAAAATATTACATGTTGCGCTTTCTGTAACAGAAAAGTGTACACAGAAGACAAGTGCCTGGTGAAGGAGAATAGTGCCTTAAATATACACAACGGCCACTCGCTAGTTGTGAATGGCACTGCTGCAGACGGCCATGATGTTGACGCTAAGGTCAGCTCTGACCCAGGTAAGGACACCTTTTCCAGAGACAGTTTATATTTTTCTTTTCATTACTGATTTGATCCCGAAATCATATTACTATTTACTGATATGTTCTGCCCACTGGAGCTGCATTGGTGCTAATGTCTGGATGTGAAAAGTAAGAGCCACCATTACATGCTGTGGCCGTGTCACTCATTCTGCTTAATTTTTGTTTGTTTGTCAGGTTCAGAGCATTTAGAGCCAGCATCAGGGCTTGGGGCAGATCTTTTGGCTCTGTTTCAGAGGGCTGATATGTCTGACATCAGCATCCAGGTGGCAGATAGAGTCTTTTCAGCACACAGGTAAAATAATCACGATCAGCTTTCTGAAGCTCTTGCATACATTTAGTCATTTGCTTGTATCTGCTTGTAAATCTGGTATTCATTTTCATTTAAATTTGTAAAAAAAGAAGTTCTGAAATTATGGACAAAAATTAAACAAAATTATGGCTTGAAATAATGAAGAAATATTTAAGATTTATAGGCCAGTAATCAAATAAGCAAATATGTAACCTTACAGTGGAAAAAAGGTCAGGTTTTCACACAAGTTCATGCAGCTCAAGCAGGGGTGCCTTTAGATAACCAGAGGTCCCTGGGCTACAGCATTGCAGTAGGCCTCCCTACCCGAAGTAAAAATGCTACTAGGCCATTAGTCAATTCATAGACATTTCAATTTGTGCTAATGTACGAATAAATTCAAATGACATGACTTTAGATACTGAAAAGTCCTTGATAACATCAGTAAAATCCAAAATTTGGTGAATAGGATTTTTGTGCAATGGGATGTATTCAATTTTTGTGCAATAGGAACTATCCACTGTAACCATAGTGATGTCATTTGAATTGACAAAAAAGTCGAGGCGCAAGTTCATGCTTCACATTAACTGACAACAGAGTGAGAGCGGAGTATTTGAGTTGCGCACAGAGCTTGGAAGACAGTGACTGAAAAAAAAATCTCTAATATCAGCCGATACCTGGTCCTGTGCATCCCTCATTTTCAATCAGTGCTGGACGGTCTGACTTCAGTGAGGGCAGTTTATGTTGCTAAATCATAAATGCCCAGAAGGTGGCAGAATTACAGTTTTCTCCTTCATGAAGCAGTAAAGGCGAAACTAATCAGAAAAAAAATGGTTTTACTACGTGAATCTAATCTAGCATTGAAAACCAATATACAAAACATCATATTTTGCATACAACACACTAATCTGTAGTGATTAATCTCTAATGATATGCATGTACAACGCAGGTCATGTTCTGAAGATGAATTACAACACTGTTAAAACTGTGTAGTTTTCTGTCATTGAGTATTTCGTTAGCACCTTTGTTTGGTGCTGCAGAGGTTAGAGCAGTTACCATGACCTGTTACTATAGCAACAGGCTCTCCCTCATCATCAGCCGGGAGCAGCATCTCTGCAGGTTTGGGTTGTATGGATGGAGAAAGACGTCTGCAGTCCTGATCAGTATGTCAGACCTGAGGTGACTGCTGCAGATCTGTCAGGCTCACTGCAGGATACACACACCGAACCAGCACTGATAATCCCTGTCTCATCTCCCATTCACTTTCATCAACCCTCCCTCATCTGTCCATACATCTCCCATGAGGATGATCTTTCATGACACACATATGTGCCTCTTGCGGACACACACAGAATGAAATGCTATATAATCAGCTGTAATTCACTGTAAAGCAGGTACATTAGCATAACTTTGTTTTAAATAATTAGTGGGGACAGTTTGGGGTTGGTTTGCACAGATGTACTCGTGGAACTTCACGCATGGCTAGCTTATGAATATTAAATGGAACTTGTACAAATAATTTAAAATTATGCTTTAAAGTAGATTAATTAATAATATGGATTTCTCTAATCTGAAAATGAAATGATAACATTTTAATTAGAAATGTCCAAAAATCATTTAAATGACAATTTTGGGAGGGAAATTAAGTGTTATTCTTTTTTTCCCTTTTTTTTACATAAAATAACATTAAAATATTTTAGAGGGAGCAATAAATCTTATTACCCATTTAAAGTGCTTAACCTTCATGCATGGCTATCTTATGAATATTAAATAGACCATTGTACAAATATATATATATATATATATATACATAATATATACATAAAACAACATTAAATTATTTTAGAGGGAATAATAAATGTAATTAGTCAGTTAAACTTATGACATATCCCATTTGTCAGTGTCATTAACAGCCATTGACTGTCGCTGAATTTTGTAGGTCAGTGGATAAATGTGTGTATCGTCAGTTAAATACAGTTTGATTACCATTGGTCCAATGGTAATATTTTCTCTTTGAGTATGACACTTTCAGGCTTCTAATCTGCCTAAATGTAACCAGTAAATAGCAGTTCCACAATAGCAGTTCTACGAATTTGTGTGAATAGTGGGATTTTGTTTTATCATTTTACTGGAATGGATATCAAGCTGTGAAAAAGCAATAGAGTGGAGTGTGCATCTGAGGGCTGTCTGACAAATGAACGAAATGGACAACAATTGGAGACGCTTCCTCTGAAATAGATCCATCGCTGCCACAATCTATTCATCAAGTGAGAACAAAATTGACCAAGGCAAAAAAAATGTAGACTTTTTTTTGTAAGTGTTCTTTTTAGCCTCCCTCAGTCATCACTGTAAAAGCTGCAGTTTGTTCTGAGAGGAGACCAGGAGCTAGTGACACATTAGAAAAAAAGAATCTATTTATAGTGAATGTTTATGACAGATGGAGAATAATAGGGCTGCTACCATTGGTCCAATGGTAATATTTTCTCTTTGAGTATGACACTTTCAGGCTTCTAATCTGCCTAAATGTAACCAGTAAATAGCAGTTCCACAATAGCAGTTCTACGAATTTGTGTGAATAGTGGGATTTTGTTTGATCATTTTACTGGAATGGATATCAAGCTGTGAAAAAGCAATAGAGTGGAGTGTGCATCTGAGGGCTGTCTGACAAATGAACGAAATGGACAACAATTGGAGACGCTTCCTCTGAAATAGATCCATCGCTGCCACAATCTATTCATCAAGTGAGAACAAAATTGACCAAGGCAAAAAAAATTTAGACTTTTTTTTGTAAGTGTTCTTTTTAGCCTCCCTCAGTCATCACTGTAAAAGCTGCAGTTTGTTCTGAGAGGAGACCAGGAGCTAGTGACACATTAGAAAAAAAGAATCTATTTATAGTGAATGTTTATGACAGATGGAGAATAATAGGGCTGGTGGCTGAGAGAGAGATAAAGGAGGACTGGGAGGGAGAAGAAGATGTGGGACAAAAGAGAGATTGTAGAGCATATGAAGTGTCACCAGCTGTATGTAATTCTGCCTTCAGCGAAGTTTCTACTTATGGCTTCAGAAATCGTAATTATGATTTGGTGCAACAAATGAAGAGCAAAGGTTGTGCATTAAGTGTGTAATTTATGCATTATCTTTTTATTTTATCGTTCATGTGCTGCTGTAGAGGATGATGGGAAATGCAGTTTGATAACACAAGCCTGTTGCCTCATAAACTGGTTAGATTAACCGTTTTTATGAATAGTTTATGCTATTCTTCATGAACAGTACAAAAAAATGCACACTTGATCGCAAAGAAAATGTGAAAATTACTCATAGGGAAATGTGTCAAAGATAATTTTTTTTGTCTGGATCTATTCACTTATTAAAAAGTACCTAAAAAATGTCATTTATGCTTGAATACACATTAAAATGACTGGAATACACCTCTTAAATTTATAACATTAGAATTTTTTAACATTTGGCAATTTGTTAGCATTTTTGCTGAACAAATTTTGCATATACACAAAAATTAAGGTTCAGTATGTGCCCCAGTTTTTGTTATGGTTTGGTACAGTGGGGGTAAAAAAAAACTATACTTTTTTATTTATTCAAAGATTTGCTTGCTGTCAGGATGGGCCTTTTTGCAAAATTGAAATGCATGCATGAATTTGTAACATTTACAGGTATACAATATACAGCCATAGGATGTAAGTTGTGCGCTGAGAAAAATACAATTCAAATGCATTAATATAATATAAAGCACATCTAATATTGAAGCCTGCAGCTGGTCTGTGTGCGCTATTTTTCAGACACGTTATATTATGCACACAGAGAAGTTCCTCACATGCAGTGGTTCAAACAATACTTTATTCTTTTGGCACACACGTGTACCCATACAAAAATTTTTGGGTGAAAATATGTGTACCGTTACACCTCTAACATATAGTTATATTAAGCATAATCTTTTCTTATTTTTTATTTAAAAATATCTAGTTGGGTTATGAAACTCTAGGTGGCGCGTCTTTAATGCAGTCTGCTAGCTATCATATCATCCACTACAAGGCACTAACTGATTGGTCTCTGTTGCATCTGCAGTCAGTGAGCTTGTTAATCAACATTTAAAAAAATTGGTTTAGTGTTTGCTGTAAGGAAGTGTTGCAGTGTGCTTTCAGAAACCCTCCACCTCCCCCAGCTCCACTTGTGTAGATCTGCTATGGGTAATTTCATGTATGCTATCAGTGTGTCTCACATTCTTGCAGCATGTCTGTGTATGTATTGGCAGTACTTGCTCTACAGCATAGCAGATCAGTTCCGCAAAGACCAAATACATTAATGTTGTCATTTCCAAACCATCTTGTCATGTTGTCATAATAGAAATATATTTTAACAAAACTGCTTAATAATATTTGAAAATGGTATACAGTAAAAGTTTTTCAAACCCATATGAAGTCCACAAACATATAAAATAGTACATTTCTAAGAACTTGGAGCATTTGTTTAGAACTAGATTTTTAAATGAATTTTCTGTTTCTTTATCTTCAGGACAATGCTAAAACCTAGTTAATCAGCTCTAGGTTTTAAGTCAGAGCCACAGTCATCATCATTTTCTAAAATAATTCTTAAATAAACCATTACATCTCCCTTCCCCAATTTCATGCGGTCTTCTTTATTTTCTTGATTTTTTTTTACCTACATTCCCAAGCATATCAGTCAGTGAATAATACACATATGCACATACATGTCCTGGGGCTGCTTTACAAATATCGAGCCGAAGTAATGTGGTGTGAAGCGTGTGTGAGTGATAGGGGAAGCTGACGTTGTTTGTCTGTGTGTGTATGTGTGTTTCTCCTTTCCCACAGGGCCATTCTATGTGCGCGCTCAGAGTATTTCCGAGCAATGCTGTGTGGGAGCTGGATGGAGAGTTTGCGTCAGTGTATCACTCTGCAGGGGTAGGTTATGCAGGACACCCATCAACATGGGATATATGATTGCAAAATACACACAAATACAATAGTACAAATACACATATCAAATACTTTGTCATGCTTAGAAGGGAAAGTATGCGTAAAGGGTACTGTACAGCCAGCCAATTATTATGATAAACTCTATGTAGCTCTTGTCAGTCCCTCTTTTACCGATTTCTCTCACTAGAAACTCTTGAGGTTCAGGGCACCTATTAATGTTTTTTGCTTACCATATATATTAACCTTGATACTGCAGGCCACTTTAACAACAGTTGATGACCACTTATCTTCACAAACGGCTTTGATCTCCAGTTAAAAGTGACATATCATGAAAATCTGACTTTTCCAGGTTTTAAATGCTATAATCAGGTCCCTGGTGCATCTACCAACAAAGGAAACGTGAAAAAGATTAACCCAGTAACTTTGTTTTGGTAAGCCTTTTTCTGCAAGCGTCTGAAAAAACGAGAGCGTCTGATTTCGCTCCCTTGGTGACGTGGCAAAGGGATTTCATTATAATATTACCGCCCCTTAATCTGTAAGTTTCCACCCATAGCGCCGTTATTGTGTTTTCGCAAGTGACAACGGTGTACTAGTTCTAATGCCATGGAGAAAGTTTGAGCAAAACATGCTAACTGTTCTGTCTTTGGCTGCACAGACGAGCACACTATTTAGATTCCCAGCATCAGAGGAGACAAGACAGCAGTGGATTTATTGATTTATTAACTGTATATTTCTGCTGCCACAGATCTAAAATAAACATGCAATTTATTTCCCAGCTGTTTACCTTCACAGACATAACCGACTGTTTTTTGTAACTCGTGTGTTTTTAACGTAAACTTGTGTGTGAATGAGAACTTAGTGTGCACTCAGAAAACCGTATATCAGAAGTTTAAACTCATATGGTTTAAAACGCATGATTTCAGTGCGATAAACATGATAATCAGAACCAAAACAGATGTTTTTTAGCAGGTGCGAGCTGTAATGGCACAACTCTATTCTGGAAAAGGGGGCGGGGAGCAGCAGCTCATTTGCATTTAAAGAGACAGGCCACGAAAAACAGCGCGTTTCTGCTTCTATATATAATAAATCATCTGTGGAGTATTTTGAGCTGAAACTTCACAGACACATTCTGGGGACACCAGAGACTTATATTACATATTCTAAAAAGGGGCATAATATGTCTCCTTTAAGCTAAGAGGTCATGTGTGTGATCACACAATGTCCCAGAGTTCAGCGTGAGTTTTCAGTCAGGCGTTCTACCTGATGAGGATCTTCCAGCCTACCAGCTATCAATTATTCATAACTCAGTCTGTATCTGTACACTATGTAATGTTTCATGCTAGGCGGTTCAACCCATGATGTGTGTTAATATGAGACTTTTGTGAATTTTAGTCCATGTATGAGATCACAGCTGATTTTATTCTAAAACCACATTTAGCTTTTACTGTAAACGGTCAAAGAGCAGGATAGCATAATACTATTTTGTTGCTCTGTGATAATTTACTGAAAAAATTATTTTTCTTTTTATTAATATTGATAGTACACTATAACCCTCTTCATCAGAAGATCTTCATCTTTGGAGCTTGTTCTGATAGTTTGATCTCTGATTCTGGCTGGTCTGCAAGAGTAGGTAAAGATGTAGGTGGTGGCCAGAAATCCTCAATGGTTGAATCTTGATTTTGCCATGCTGTGACATAAACTAAATATGTCCACCTCAACTTTCGTTTTCAATAGGAAATACATCAGCACAGAAGTAAAAATTGTGTTTTGCAAATAATTTAATGGGGTCTTTCTTTAACAGCAGATTCTGGGGGGGAAAAAAGGAATCTTGCTAACACTTATAAAAAGGTCTAATTGTTTAATGTTAGTTAACTACAAACTACATAATTAACCTGAATACTTGTACAGGATTTATTAAACTTAGTAATCTTACTACCTCAGTAATCATAGTTTTTTACTACGTAACATTAACAAAGATAGATTCATGTTATTAAAAAATATTAGGAAATGCATTAAGTAATGTTAACAAATAAAGTCTCATCATAAAATGTTAGCCTAGTCTTGAGTTTGTAAAATGCCATATAATCTGAATGTTTTTTTTTTCATTTTTTTATTTTCAATCAGTCTGGGTCCAGATGAAATGGAGATTCTGCTTCATTTCATGTATGGTGCCATTCTAGACTTCCCACCAGGAACAAATGTCAGGTAAAGACCCTCTGTAGTGACATTTCCTCTTTTCAAATGTTATAAATGCAAAAATGCAATGGCGAGACTTCGCAGAAATGTCAAGATGTGTGTGTTTGCCTTTGATTTCAGTCAGGTTGTGTTAGCAGCAGACATGCTGGGCCTGGAGGGGCTGAAAGACATGGCCGAGATGGTCCTGACTCGGGACTATTGCCGCTTTTTCCCCAAGGTAAGAGAGAGGATGGGGTCACGACACACACATTTAGTCTATTAGAGGTGAGGAGCGAAAATAGTCCTGTTAAGCAGCGAGTCTGTTGTCAGGTAGCACCATCATCGTGTCATTTATAAGCCTTTAGGAACACATTATGTGATTTGTATTTGTGAGCGAGTAAAGTCTGGGCATTGATTCAGCTTTTGTAGAGCATTTAATTTGTCAGCCAAAAACACATGGCCCTATCCCTCTGGTGTGGCTCCAGACGAGGATTCCTCCCATTTAAGTTCCTCAGATATGGGTGTAACATCTCTCTCTTCAGCCATATTTTGCCATTTTTTTCTACTTGTCTTAGAATAGAAGCACTGTAGCAGACTCACGCCATGTTTACACAGCAAGTGCAGATTGTCATGAGCTCTCTGATACAAAAGCAGTAGTGGGAGGCAGCATAAGTCAGGAAGCATAGTGTTTGACAGCCCTCTCACAATTCATGAAAAGCTGTTTTGTTTGTGCTTCAGAGTCTCTCATTCTCACTCCCACTTTTCAAGACCAGCTTTAAGACCAGGCTAATTTGTGTCCTTTCAGTTAGTAATTTCATCCTACACAGAGATGAAAGATGAATGTGTTTACTCCCTCTCCTCTTTCAAAATAATTTGACTGTTTAAGTATAGCTCTTAGAATAGAAGCACTGCAGCAGACTCACGCCATGTTTACACAGCAAGTGCAGATTGTCATGAGCTCTCTGATACAAAAGTAGTAGTGGGAGGCAGCATAAGTCAGGAAGCATAGTGTTTGACAGCCCTCTCACAATTCATGAAAAGCTGTTTTGTTTGTGCTTCAGAGTCTCTCATTCTCACTCCCACTTTTCAAGACCAGCTTTAAGACCAGGCTAATTTGTGTCCTTTCAGTTAGTAATTTCATCCTACACAGAGATGAAAGATGAATGTGTTTACTCCCTCTCCTCTTTCAAAATAATTTGACTGTTTAAGTATAGGAAAGACTTGATTAAAGGTATATGGAGAATTTAGTCTTTCCACTACAGAAATGCATAATACGTTTAATATACTATTCAAAGATTTTCAATTTGGGGTTGTTGTTTTTTTATGTTTTTGAAACAAATCTCTTGTTTTTACCAAAGCTGCAGTTATTTTATAAAAAATACAGTAAAAATATTTTATTGTAAAATATCTTTATGCGTGATGGTAAAGCTGAATTTTCAGCAGCCATTACAGCAGTCTTCAGCATCACATGATTCTTCAGAAATCATTCTTAAGTGCTGATTCCTATCAATGTTGTGCTGCTTAATATTTTTGTGGAAATTGTAAAACTATTTTTGTTGGGATTCTTTAAACAGTATTTAATTGAAAACAGCATTTATTCAGTTATTCACTTAATTTTATAGCAAATAATGCATTTTTTATTTATTTATTTAAACAATACACGTTGCCAATTTCCTATTAACTCGCATAGAATCAATTCATGCAGCAGAGGTCTTTTCTCATCTCACTCGCACAAATATTGTTTTTACAAACTCCATCAAAACACATGCAAACACAATATAATATATAGTCAAATTAAATAAAACAACTTTGTTCACACTTTAAAAGGACAAAGGCGTATGCAAGTCTCATATCTTTAAACAGTTAACACCTAATTCTATAATTATGTAAATAATTCAGTGGAACAGACAATATTGCTTTTGATTCCATTTTGCAAATATCTCCTTTTTGCCTGATACGCGTGTCAAGATATAGTTTTTCCTGTAGTGTTCACATTGATATTTCTGTGATTGACGGTGATTCGCTCATGGGTGATTTCACTTGTTAAACTTCATTGACCATAAAATTGTACCATACAAAGAATAGAATGGCTTTAATTTTCCCCTTATATGATTTGTAATAACCTGTAAAGAGGTATTTCTCCATCATTTACTGGTAATCAGGTGCTTTGTGATAGCAATTTAAAAAAAAAATCCAAATATGCCAAAGTTTGCAATTTGTAGCTTTCAGGAATTTCTTCAGATTAACTGTGATTTATGTTGTATAAAATGGAATTAAACACAAGCTCAGACAGCTGAACTCTACACTGTATATTAGCTTATGACAGGTTTCAGGCTATTGATCCACTAAAGTTTCTAAGATGAGGTGTGAATATCAAGAGTCAGTCCTTCTTCTCATTTTCTGTAGCCTGTTGATGGGGTTCAGAAACCTATACTGGAGTGCCTCGCCATTACCCACTCTATAGGCCTGCACGATCTCTACTGCTCCTGTGTGAGGTGAGACAGTTTTTGCACTTCTGTGGATGCTACTGCTTTAAATAATGGTTTTTAAAATGACTCTCCCTTCTTTTCTGAAAAAAAAAAATCCAAATATGCCAAAGTTTGCAATTTGTAGCTTTCAGGAATTTCTTCAGATTAACTGTGATTTAAGTTGTATAAAATGGAATTAAACACAAGCTCAGACAGCTGAACTCTACACTGTATATTAGCTTATGACAGGTTTCAGGCTATTGATCCACTAAAGTTTCTAAGATGAGGTGTGAATATCAAGAGTCAGTCCTTCTTCTCATTTTCTGTAGCCTGTTGATGGGGTTCAGAAACCTATACTGGAGTGCCTCGCCATTACCCACTCTATAGGCCTGCACGATCTCTACTGCTCCTGTGTGAGGTGAGACAGTTTTTGCACTTCTGTGGATGCTACTGCTTTAAATAATGGGTTTTAAAAAACTTTTCTGATTGTACTACTCCATTAAGAGTCATACTGTATGTGTATACTGTACAGTGCAAATTAATTACTAAATAATAAATGACTAAATAAATAATACACGTTTCAAAATGCTTTCTATTTCTGAGGTTATGCTTCTGTCCAAATGTGGATGCAGTCAGTTTTGCAGATATTTATTAAACATTTAAATCAAACCCATTTTCACATCGAATGTTAATGTTGGGCACAATTGTTAAGCCAAAGAAAAAAAGATGGAGACTGGCTTTTGCCTATAAAAGAGTAGGCAAATCTTTATCAATATTTTTTTTTGTCTCTGTTGTTATAAATGTGCTTACACTTACATCAGTTTGCTACATTAACATTTGTCATTACATCTTTAACATTTGCACCTTTGCATAAAATACATTTTAACAGTTAATAATTAATCAATTAAAAATCAATCAAAATGTACAGAACTTTTTGTTGTTACAGTTATTTTTTATACAGATACAGTTATTTTTAAGTATTCATTTGAATTACATTTGTAGTAAAATATATGTGCAAGACTCCAGACAGAAGTAGATTTATATAGTTCTGTTTACTCGCTCGCACAAAACCAATTCTGTTCCTCAATGCCTCAAAACATATGCAAACCAGCAAAAATCTTTCTCCAGCACCTTATGGATTTGATCTTGCATCTTTGCCAAGTCTGGGTTCTTAATCAGTTTCTATTTTTATGTATTTATTTATTTATTTCTTGTGTGTGTGTGAAAAGTATGTAAAAAAAGAACCTCTAGGCAGTACAAAAAGACTGATTTGAATAAAAAATTCTTTCATCTTTAGATTGTGGTGGCAATGAAAAAGAATTCTCAATAAAGTCGTTCCTCTTTGATTTTACTCTAAATTTGTAGGGGTAACACAAATAGATAGAAATATTAATAAGTATGTGTCCCAAGATTCTTTGACTGACAACATGGACAGCAGAAAAAATGTATATTTGGCTTGTAATAATTTAGTACCATCTACATTACTTAATTAGTCAACTCTGTCATTTACTTCCCTTTGCTCTAAACTCAGCGCACTGCGGTAAAGCAGCTCAGAGAAGCGTGTGAATGTAGGTTGGGATTTTTCCAGTGTCTTAGAGATAGAAAGAGAGAGACTGTGTGCGTGTGTGTTGTTTCTGTGATGTGTTGGTGCTGCCTCCGCAGCGGGTAGGAGGGTGAAGAGTCATGCATCATGATGAGAAGCTCTCAGTACAGCATCAGTGATCTGATGATAAGATCAGCGCAGCACTGCTGCTTTCAGTTCAGTGCCAGCTGAACCTGCTGCCCTAGTGCTACTAACCTAGATCATTGGGATAACTCTTCCAGAAATAAAATGTTATTTGTATAGAGCTTTTGACAATACACATAGTTTCAAAGCAGCTTTACAGAAACTCATAATGTTAATGTTTTTAATACCTAAATGCCTCATATAGTTCACATTTAGAAGGTTAGAGTAGTTTAAATTTGGCACTGACATAAATTATCAACCAGTTGAGATTTGTTATCAGTATATAATGCTTTATAAGTAATACTGTTTGTGTATGTGTAAAGTTGGATATATACATATAATCATTTCTGTTTAGTTATTTGTTTTACGGTAATCTTGAGGATTGTGACGCATGACAAACCTAATAATTATTAGGTATTGTTTATCACAGTCATGATTTAAAATGATTCATATCAGGATTTAAGATTTTGGTTGTTTTGCCATTTGTTTGAAAAAAATTTTCTTCTCTTGTTTGAACAGATGTTTGGCATGAATATTTTCAGATTTTTTTTTATATTGACAGATTTATGCTGACAAGATGCCAAAAAAAAGACAATAAAACAATAAAAGTGCTACAAAAGTACTCCATATGACTAGTGCACTATATTCCAAGTTTTCTAAGGCTACTGCTTTAAATAATGGGTTTTAAAAAACTTTTCTGATTGTACTACTCCATTAAGAGTCATACTGTATGTGTATACTGTACAGTGCAAATTAATTACTAAATAATAAATGACTAAATAAATAATACACGTTTCAAAATGCTTTCTATTTCTGAGGTTATGCTTCTGTCCAAATGTGGATGCAGTCAGTTTTGCAGATATTTATTAAACATTTAAATCAAACCCATTTTCACATCGAATGTTAATGTTGGGCACAATTGTTAAGCCAAAGAAAAAAAGATGGAGACTGGCTTTTGCCTATAAAAGAGTAGGCAAATCTTTATCAATATTTTTTTTTGTCTCTGTTGTTATAAATGTGCTTACACTTACATCAGTTTGCTACATTAACATTTGTCATTACATCTTTAACATTTGCACCTTTGCATAAAATACATTTTAACAGTTAATAATTAATCAATTAAAAATCAATCAAAATGTACAGAACTTTTTGTTGTTACAGTTATTTTTTATACAGATACAGTTATTTTTAAGTATTCATTTGAATTACATTTGTAGTAAAATATATGTGCAAGACTCCAGACAGAAGTAGATTTATATAGTTCTGTTTACTCGCTCGCACAAAACCAATTCTGTTCCTCAATGCCTCAAAACATATGTAAACCAGCAAAAATCTTTCTCCAGCACCTTATGGATTTCATCTTGCATCTTTGCCAAGTCTGGGTTCTTAATCAGTTTCTATTTTTATGTATTTATTTATTTATTTATTGTGTGTGTGTGAAAAGTATGTAAAAAAAGAACCTCTAGGCAGTACAAAAAGACTGATTTGAATAAAAAATTCTTTCATCTTTAGATTGTGGTGGCAATGAAAAAGAATTCTCAATAAAGTCGTTCCTCTTTGATTTTACTCTAAATTTGTAGGGGTAACACAAATAGATAGAAATATTATTTTTATACAGATACAGTTATTTTTAAGTATTCATTTGAATTACATTTGTAGTAAAATATATGTGCAAGACTCCAGACAGAAGTAGATTTATATAGTTCTGTTTACTCGCTCGCACAAAACCAATTCTGTTCCTCAATGCCTCAAAACATATGCAAACCAGCAAAAATCTTTCTCCAGCACCTTATGGATTTGATCTTGCATCTTTGCCAAGTCTGGGTTCTTAATCAGTTTCTATTTTTATGTATTTATTTATTTATTTCTTGTGTGTGTGTGAAAAGTATGTAAAAAAAGAACCTCTAGGCAGTACAAAAAGACTGATTTGAATAAAAAATTCTTTCATCTTTAGATTGTGGTGGCAATGAAAAAGAATTCTCAATAAAGTCGTTCCTCTTTGATTTTACTCTAAATTTGTAGGGGTAACACAAATAGATAGAAATATTAATAAGTATGTGTCCCAAGATTCTTTGACTGACAACATGGACAGCAGAAAAAATGTATATTTGGCTTGTAATAATTTAGTACCATCTCCATTACTTAATTAGTCAACTCTGTCATTTACTTCCCTTTGCTCTAAACTCAGCGCACTGCGGTAAAGCAGCTCAGAGAAGCGTGTGAATGTAGGTCGGGATTTTTCCAGTGTCTTAGAGATAGAAAGAGAGAGACTGTGTGCGTGTGTGTTGTTTCTGTGATGTGTTGGTGCTGCCTCCGCAGCGGGTAGGAGGGTGAAGAGTCATGCATCATGATGAGAAGCTCTCAGTACAGCATCAGTGATCTGATGATAAGATCAGCGCAGCACTGCTGCTTTCAGTTCAGTGCCAGCTGAACCTGCTGCCCTAGTGCTACTAACCTAGATCATTGGGATAACTCTTCCAGAAATAAAATGTTATTTGTATAGAGCTTTTGACAATACACATAGTTTCAAAGCAGCTTTACAGAAACTCATAATGTTAATGTTTTTAATACCTAAATGCCTCATATAGTTCACATTTAGAAGGTTAGAGTAGTTTAAATTTGGCACTGACATAAATTATCAACCAGTTGAGATTTGTTATCAGTATATAATGCTTTATAAGTAATACTGTTTGTGTATGTGTAAAGTTGGATATATACATATAATCATTTCTGTTTAGTTATTTGTTTTACGGTAATCTTGAGGATTGTGACGCATGACAAACCTAATAATTATTAGGTATTGTTTATCACAGTCATGATTTAAAATGATTCATATCAGGATTTAAGATTTTGGTTGTTTTGCCATTTGTTTGAAAAAAATTTTCTTCTCTTGTTTGAACAGATGTTTGGCATGAATATTTTCAGATTTTTTTTTATATTGACAGATTTATGCTGACAAGATGCCAAAAAAAAGACAATAAAACAATAAAAGTGCTACAAAAGTACTCCATATGACTAGTGCACTATATTCCAAGTTTTCTAAGGATGTATGATAGCTTTTGTGTGAGGAACATGCTGAAACTGAAGTTTTACTAATAACCTTAACACTTTTATGGTACAATTTTGTGCTTTTTGAAGTCTGACAGAATAAATTATTACTGTGCCATACTGGTTGTATGGAGTAGACTGGACATTCTTCAAACCGTCTCCCTTTGTGTTACCTACACACACACACACACACACACACACACACACATACAAAACTACAGGGTTGGAATGACACATAATTAGGTAAATTATGAAGGAATTTGAAGGAACTATATATATTTTTTTAAGCTACAATGGTCAAAATTACTTTTGTAGGTTAGCAGGAATTGTGCAGGAAGTACGTTTTGAATTTTACTTATTTGTACTTGAAAATGAAAGCAATAAAAAATAAAAGCTTACGCTCATTGATGTGTTTCAATCCACAGATGGGTAGCTGAGCACTTTGTGAAGTGCTGGTCAGAAAGGAATTTTGCCCTCCTCCCTCCAGAACTACAGAGAGATTGCCTTAATACTGTCACCAAAAACATGGTTTGTAATACTCAAAGACATATATTTGTTTTCTATTATGGTGGGGACTTTCCTTTGACTTCGTTTTTATACAGATCTAATGATACTGAATTATTCAGTATGTTTACAAGCAATGTTTTAGTGGGAAACAGCATAGACAACAACCTATATTTCCCTTCATTCCTTACTGTCCTTCTGCTTCTGTCTGCATCCTATAGTACAATAAGACATTGTTGAGATGAGCTGTGGCCTTTGTTTTGAGGATGGCTATTGACTAAAGAACAATTAGAGGACTTGATTGAGTGGCTTTGTGTGTGTGTGTGCGCGTTAAGCCCACAAACAGCTCATTCACTTAACCCATAGTCTGGCAGTCCCCTAAATTTCTCTCACGCACACACACAGACACACAGACCCAGAATTTTGGCAGCTGCAGTCCGCCAAGTGTAGTTGTATAACACTGGGTTTTCCCCCTCCTGATTTCCAGTCGTGATGTAAACCACTGCTGAAGCAAATTGGATTGCATTAGGAAATTTGCAGTCACTAACAGTGCAATCAGCATGTGTCAGAGGAAGCAGGGAAAGTGGATTCTATGAATGAGACCGTGTTTATGATGATGTTTTTCCAGATGGTGCAGAGTATGTTGCGCGTTAAGCCCACAAACAGCTCATTCACTTAACCCATAGTCTGGCAGTCCCCTAAATTTCTCTCACGCACACACACAGACACACAGACCCAGAATTTTGGCAGCTGCAGTCCGCCAAGTGTAGTTGTATAACACTGGGTTTTCCCCCTCCTGATTTCCAGTCGTGATGCAAATTGGATTGCACTAGGAAATTTGCAGTCACTAACAGTGCAATCAGCATGTGTCAGAGGAAGCAGGGAAAGTGGATTCTATGAATGAGTGGATCTCTTTAATATGACCCTGTGATGCTTTGAACATTGAGAGCTAGAATACAGTTGCATCAAAACATTAAGCATTTCCAGAGGGGTTGGGGAATGGGGTCCACGATTAGATACAATGGGTTTTGTGTTGTTGTATTCTGCAAGTGGAAATATACAGTATATGTTAGAGTATAAATTATGCATTGCTTTGGGTGTCATGGTCGTGCTTGCATTCTGCTTACCCTCACATATATTAAGGCATGCAAATGCAGTACCTGGTATGCAAAGCATACGCCATGCAAACACAAACACTTAAGCTGCATTCTTTCACCGATGCTATTTGATCTATGAATTAGTTTTTGGGAATGAGAGCAGTGAAGTCAGAGCTCAATTGTATTGCTGGGAAGAAAGCCTAGATCTTTTGTTTTTTCTAATGATTTAAAGAATGCTCTGGATAAGCTGTGAGATGATCAAAGGCTAGATCTGTGCTGAAGGAGTAGGAAATCAGTGGTTCTCTGCAGAACTGCACTGCCACTTTTACTGATTGGGGTTGTGACTGATGGCAAGTCTGCAAGTATTTACGTGTGTGATTGAGGAAATGTTTGGCAAATGTTGATTATGCAGGTGTGGATGTTCTAATTAAACTGAAGCTGTCTGTAATCTAAAATTAGCCTTCACTTTATAAAGTGACTGTCATAGGCTCTGCTGTGAGTTCTGATTTTGTAAGGTTTTCTTTTACTGAAAGACAAGCTGATTGAACTGAAATTTAAAGGCTGTTAGATGAGAGCTGTCTCATCACAACAACGTTAAAGGGGTCATATGATGTTGCTAAAAAGAACATTATTTGGTGAAAAATAATATGACCAAAGTGAAATGGATACAGAGACCTTGGGCTAAGGAAACAGCTGTCCTTCGGTAATGTTTAAAAAAAAAATTTTTTTAAGAATGTGCTTTTTTGCCTTTAATCCAAAGATCATAAGATTTTGTGCTTTATGGTCTTGTATGTCTGAGATTACTGTATCAAATGAGTTGCTGATCTGATTAACAATGAGCAAAGCCATCAGTCTTTCGTTCTCTCTCTGTCTCTCTCCCTTCTGCAACAGAAACCTACAAAATGCCTCTCGGGCACTTCGTCTCCATGTGATAGCCCTTCTTATCCTCCTATTAAGGTATCACAGGGTCCACGTGCTTCCCCTGCAAGATCTGTAGCTGCAGCATCAGGTACCATGAAGTCTGATGCTCTGGGGCCAACAGCTCACACGGCTCCTGGGAAAACAAAAGCTAGTAACAATGCCTCACTCAGAAGTAAAAATGATAAGGTTAAGCCAACTCAAATGCCAGCTAAAACCAAGACTACGTCTACTGTCAAACCAGTGTTGAATGGCACTGGTGGTGGTGCTCCACGGGAGAATTCCACCGCTTCAGGTGCCCGTGGTTCACCCACAAGGAAGACGGTGCTGGACAGAAAGCCAAACCCAGGAGCAAGGCCAAAGTCTTCCTCTGCTGGGTCTGATCTCTTGGCAGGCCAGACTAAAGGAGGAAAACTGAAGAAGGACACAATGTCAGGGAAGGATCTGCCTCAGGAATTGGTCAGCATTGCTCAGAATACCCCATCTAACTCTGGCAGCACCTCACCAGACAACAGTGCTGGGAGTCCACAAAAGAATGGCCACAGTACACCGACAGGTAAATTTACCTTGATTCATAATTACCTTCACACCACACTTAATTAAACTCTACTACATCTCAAGTTTACTACTCTACTACATATACTTCCTTGTTTTACTGTGAAAAGCCAAAGCCAGTAAAACTGTTTAAGCAGAAAATCAGACGACTACAAGCGAAGAAGAGGTAGGGCGTCAAAGACCACGATCCTGGATTAGAAAGGATGAGGTGCCAATGGAGAAGGAACCTTGTGAAATGGATACTACATTAAAATACTTGAAGGGTGTACAGGACCACCAGCTTTTCACCTCTGAGGAAGAAGAGGAGGAGACTGAAGATGAAAGATCGGAAGTTGAGGTGTTACCGAGGAGAATGGCTCCCCCGATTGCCGAACCACCGCCACAGTTTCAAGGTATTGTCAACCTTGCATTTGAAGATCCTGCAGAGCAAGAGAATGAGCAACCAGAGTACCATTCAGCTTCTAACTTCCGTCGCTCTGTTTTACTCTCGGTGGATGAGTGTGAGGAACTTGGATGTGAAGAAGGAGGCGCCCCGACTCCGACACATCAGTCAAGTGATTCCTTTACACATGGCAATGTCTTTGACAGTGAACCTCACGATTCTAAAACAGACTACTGCTCCCAGCAATCCACAAACACAGTGAGGGGCAACCATATCTCCAACCACCAGGAAAATGAACAGGAGCCCAAACACACAGTATTGCTGACAGAGATCCGGGGATCTCCACAGGAGGATAGTGCATGTAATCAATCAGATGCCCCTGTGCAAAACAAAGATGCCAGTGATGTTCCTGCTCAGGAGCGCCCTAGTCACCTGGACCTCCGGCTTGCGGAACAGTATGGCAATCTCCAGTCCAAACATATAGACAGCAGAAAAGCTGACTTGTGGCTAGACTTACCTGAGCCGCAGCTGACTGCGAGTTCACCTGCACACTCTCCAGCAGGTAATGTATAACGTTAGAGCCCATCTCCCCCTACTGCAGCCTCAGAAACATCCACTCACAGTCTCCCATCCTGACCCATTCCGCATAAATATTCAGACAATTCTTTTGACCGCCAATCATCTTCAATGGGGTACATCTTGATAGCTCATTGATTTAGATAGTAGCACACTACTGCCTCCTTTCCCACCTTCCTTTCATTCTCTTATTAAAATGTCTATCCTTTGCAATCTAATATTTCAATAAGCTATACACACAACTAAATGCCTTCTCTGAGGCACTATGCCCTAAATAACTCAACTAACAAGTTTACATGTTTACAGTAAAATTTTTACAGTAAAATATATATCTGTGTGTGGTGAAGTATGCTGAGTCAAACCATCTGTTATGTGGCATGGCTGGGCAGTCACAGTTGTACTAGTGCACTTAAGTCCTCAGTAGTTTTTGTTTGTTTGTCATTGTCCATACTGAACAGTAAGCTTCTTCCTCATAGGCCAATATGTTGACTTTTCCATAAGATATATATATCTATATATATATATATCTATATATATATATATATATATAGTGAGCTAAGCTTCCTTTTAATATAATACACATAAAGGACCACACCTTCTGCAGAGACCATGTTGTTTTGAATGTGTTAGACCTATATATTTTTTTATACTCAATATCAATGTTGAGTGTTTTGTTGTCTTTATTTTTTAAGGCTCCATCTGTTAAGTCACCAAACCAGGAAATCTTGCATGCTAATACTGGGTTTTGTTATTGATTTTGTTCATTTATTAAACTCCATCTATGTTTGTATCCATTTTTGTGTTTTATATATTTAATTTATTTCTCATTCACAATATATCACACCATTTGTAGTTCTGTAGTAAATAACCATTTTCTCAACTCTAGATTTTTATGTTGTAGATTTCTATAGAACTAGTAATTTTTTTCTGTATGTTGTGTTTGAAAAACAATCTCAAGGTTCTCCTCATGTCTCTCTTTTTTCACACTTGCGTGATACCAATCACTGTTAATGTTTTTTTTGGAGTTTTATCTTTATAAAAAGCATTTCTTGCATTTGCCAAGTAAAGCAATAAGCACTCTTTTGCCAGTATGGCCCTTATATTTTCAGTGTATCTTTAAGTTAAGACTTAAGAAACATAAACTAAAAAGCTAGAGAATTCATATCTTTTTTATGTGAACAAAACGTAGGTTATGCTGGAGATACAGTGCCTGGCAAAACATGCCTTTTACTGTTATAGCACTTGTGAACAAAAGAGACACGTTCAGTGTAGGCTTTCCTCTGTGCATCACCTTTATGGCAGCTGTCCATCCTTTTCCTAAATTCAGAAGTTGCTCCATGGATAACATGGACGGTCAAGAGTTGCTCCATGGAAAACTTTGGATTTGCACATGTGCTTAAATGTAATGCACGTGTCATTGAATCAAATCTTGATTAATGACAGTGAAAAGTGATAACTGCCCAAGACAAAGTATATATTTTTTTTCATCTGTTTAATCTTTAAAAGGATTAATATGTCAAGCTTGTTTTAACTGCATCATGGAGGACACAGTTGCACTAGGGGTGGTTTTGTACATCATGTGGAGCTAGAAACAACCCATGTCTTCAAGAAAATTCCAGTTTTTTTTTTTTTTTTAAAGCACACGTACAAACACTTGGTCATTGTGCAGTATTGTCAATTATTTTTAGGGGACTTTGATGGTTGTGACACATTGGATCAAACCTGCACACATGACCGGCGGCCATCTAAAGCCCTGTCCCCCATTTACGAGATGGACCTGGGAGAAGCCCTCGAAAAAAGCATGGATGCTGACAGGAGCAATGATCCCCAACAGGAGGAGGCACATCACGAGGGTAAAGGTGTGGAGACAGAGGACAATAAAGATGAAGTGGACCATGAAGACAGTAAGTTTGCAGAGAACGACTGGAGTCTGCTGCGACAGCTACTGTCTGACCAAGAATCCGATCTGGGCATCATAAGCTCAGTCCCAGAGGATTTAAACCTTGCACAGTACTTGATCAAGCAGACGCTGTCCTTGTCTCGAGACTGCTTGAATGAACAGGACTACTTGTATCATGAAAAGGACACATTTAAGCGCTGGGCTGAGCTTATTTCTCCACTGGAGGACTCCACCACCAGCATCACTGTGACCAGCTTCTCTCCTGAGGACGCTGCATCTCCACAGGGTGAGTGGACCATCGTGGAGCTGGAGACACATCACTGATGGCTCTGTGGACTGGAATACAGCCAATGTTTTGATAGGACTCTTTAGATTACTGCATCCTTTCTTCCTTTCAGTGCTTATTTATTTTGGGGAGAAAGACATAAGTTCCAGCTTAAGTTAACCGAAGGCACTTGACATTTTGTACAGGTACTGGAATAATGACCTCTGTGCAGTTATTTTGCATGTGGGCAATTTTCTAAGTTATATTGTTTACTTGATGGGTGCTTGAATCTTTGTAGAATACCAAAAATGCATTTTCTTGTTGCTCTTTTTGTCTCTGAATGATGACGCTTCTAAAACGTTTTGAACAGAGTGTAGAGTGTTAGTGGTTCTGGTTTACATTCATCATTGTATTTAAGACAATAAAAGCTGTTGTTGGAATTTTGCTGTCTTGTGCTGTCTTTCTCCTTGAAAGGTGATAACCACACACAAACGTGTTTGGTTGGTTCAGGGGTAGGCAAGTTCGGTCCTAGAGAGCCGCAGTCCTGCAGAGTTCAGCTCCAACCCTAATCAAACACACCTGAACAAGCTAATCAATGTCTTCAGGATTACTAAGGCTATAGGCAGGTGAGTTTTGTTTTCAGGGTTGGAGCTGAACTCTGCAGGACTGCGGCTCTCTAGGACCGAGCTTGCCTACCCCTGGGTTGGTTATATAGGGACAATGCCATGTTGTGTTATGGGTTCATATTGTCAAATGACAAAACACATGCAAGACATTTAGTCCAAAAAATTACAACACTAGGTATTTTCAGACAGGTATTATGGTTAACATTTATTTGGGTTTAAAACATAATTTGGACTTTTTTTTTTACTAACTAAAACGTTATGCCAAGGCACTTAGAATGGAAGTACAGTAAATGAGGCCAAGTTTTAGGGGATTAAAATGTGAATCTTATTTGATAAAAGCACTTGCGTTATTTTGGAATAGCTAGAAAAAGTATTGGAATTTCTGGTTTTCTGCAACTTTTTGAACAGGATGATGTGTATTTTTTTCTAATTTTGTCATATGTATTCATACATATGTATAAATATGTCTTTTTTTTTTTCAAAAGCTACAGAAGATACCTACATTTCCAAGATGACAAAATAAGTACAATTTATCCTGCTCTTCATTTATCCTGCTCTTCATGTTCCAAAGGTTTACACCCCCCACAAGTTTCCTTCTTGAGCATAAGTAAATGTTTTTACCCTTTGTAATAGTTGCGTATAAGTACATCTATTGTCCTCAGTTGGAAAATATGGATCTTAAAATCGTACAGTTCAGATATGCAGAATATGCTGGAAGCAAAACAAGTAACCTCACAGTAACCCATATTTTTATTTTAAGAACAGATAGATTGATTGATTGAAGGTTGAAGGCCTGTGTATTTATGTATCTTTTGAACCATTAAATAAGGACACTGCAGACTTTAAAGGCGGCATGAAAGGGAAGTTGCGATTGTAATGACTTATAATGACTGAGCGCGTCCTCCATCAGGTTAAGTCGTATTCATGAAAAAAATTAGTTTGCTATGTCCTAAGAGTAATGTTGTTGTAATATCCTAATATCTTTTCAATGTTTAGGGGTAACATACTTCCTCATGACTGGTGTCAGTGCTATAAAGTGAAGCATCAGCTTCAGCTTTTTCACCCCAAACCAAACGTCACTGATATCATTGCAGCTGCTGGCAGTTCCAGATAGCTCTGCCCTTGCGCCATAGCTCGTGACCGGAAGAGTAGAAGAGTCGTTTTGAGGGGGAGGGGAGGTTAACGTGTTTGATTAAAGATGGGCACATGAATTAAAAAAAAATAATGAAGTGCACGGATAAATTATTTATAATAAACACTGCAGTATTCCATTAAAAAATAAGAATTTTCCATTTTGATTTCATGGTGACTTTAAGGACAGAAGAAAGGTTGCCCATGCTATAAATCAGTCTGTTCTCCAGTGCTCAGATTAGCTGAGTGTGACAGGAAGCACTGAAGGGAAAATCATTCATCTGTACCCCTGCAAGTTAAAAGTGTCTTCAGAAGAATAGTAAGCACACACTATACAGAGCTGAGCAGGCCAGCAGTAGCCGTCCTCAAAATCCTGCTTCTCCAGAAAGTCTACAACAAACTATAGCGTTTTCCATATCAACAGTTCCTAACCTTTTTGAATCTATATCCTTTTCTACATAATCTTTGAAATGAGTATGGGAATGGGTGCAATCCTTATTCACTTAATTTGCTACAGAAAGGAGGTGCCAGTGTGCCAAACCACATCAGCTAGAAATCTGGGCCGGGTGACAATAAACAGAACATCAAACAGGATCTGCCACTCTACTGCTAATTACTCACAACATAATCAGGTCAGCGTGACAAGGAGAGTGAGACTTGCTGGAATGTCTCCTACCGAATTTGTGTTAATGTGCTTTTGTCTGGATGTGCACAAACTTGCTTCTAAGCCAAACACTGCTGGAGAAACTGGACTGTGATCTGCTTGTGGTCTTATCTATCTTTGTCTCCACCTAGTGGAGTTATTTACTCCTCACAGTTGAAGAGGAAAACCACAAGAATAGCAGACTGTGACAAACAATTTGGGGAAAATGCTCTGACCATACACTGCTTGTGGAAAAAATGCCATCTGCTTAACCAAAATGTAGTGTAATGACTCAAAACGTAAGTTATTATGCTAGGAGATCCATTGAGACTTTCCCATGTAATTTTGCAAGGTTCTTAATTTTTCCAGTAGAAGAGTAGCCTACCTTTAACCACAATGTTAAAAATGCTCTTGATGAAAAAAAGCAGAGATTATTGGTGGAATCGTTCAGTAATTTTCAGATTTCAGTGTAAAAAGCAAGATGGTCATACAACTGATTGTATAAAACAGAAACGTCATCCATAAAACTTTTATCCATTATTTTCTCTTGAACAAATGTACATTTGAATGCAACATAATGACACCTAATATGACAAGGAGACAGACCATATTAACAAACGCAACCAGGAGTAACTGAGGAGTCTGTTAGTACAAGTTACATAATCTACGGCTCATCTGTTCTCATGTAAAACTAAGTAATCCTCTTCAGGAATGCGACACCCGCTGCCATTCGGCTAAACTCATTTGTCTTTTTAATTGCAAGTGAAGTTTCTGGAGTCCACGTTGTTTCGCTGTCAGGAGGAATTCAGTCTGAAGCAGATGGACTGAAGATGTAGTGAAGGTCGGGCCTGCAGCAGCTGCAGTTCAGAGCTGAAGAAGTATAAAGTGGACATCCTTATTTATTCCTCATTTCCTGTGAGAGAAATAGCCACACAAAGTCCTTCATAAAGTTGCCAAATGCCAAAATAATAAACCAGCCCATAAATCCTCCAAGTTCTCCCAGAGAACCTCATTTCAACTGTGATGTTGACAGTGATTAAGTGTGTAGGGTGCATATTGTCATATTGAACACATGACAGTTTAGATTTGTCAGTGTCAGTTTAAAACTCCAAGATGATATACCTCATCTCAAAATATTTGACCTTGTATGTCTACTTTTAACTACTTAATAAGTTAATAAATTACGTATTAACTTAATATAATGAGATGATCAAAGTAAATAAAGGCAGCTTTTTGCAAGGAAGCACAAGCCTGAGGCCCTGAGTCAAAATGAGTCTTTTTTTCTTTTAATCAGCAGATCTCATTTGTGATGGTATAATACTCCCAGTGTTCAGCTGAAGAGTCAAATGGGGGTTCGGTGGGTGTAACGAAATGAATAGAAATGTTTTGTTGGTTCACTCTCTCAACCTTTTTCTTGGGTTAGCTTATTAACAACAATATTAGTGTCATCATACAGTATATCTTATTTTAAGGAAATTATTCTGATATTTGATCATATTAGGATCTTCCAGGGACTCTGTGTGGTTATATGTGGCTTTAAATATAAATCTGTGTTCAAGTGTTTTTCATTCACATACACTGGGTATAGAAAAAAATACCCTCCATTAAAATAATCATGTTTTGTTGCTTTGCATCCTGAAATGAAGACAGACACACTTTTAGTTTTATCCAGCTGTATTTACTGTGCAACGTATAACATCCAAGTGAAAGATATAACATCAACACGTCAGAAAAAAGGGGGGAAAAAACAATCACTGAGTTGGAAAAAGGATCACCCCCTTGTGTCAGTATATTGTTGAACCACATTTTGCTTTAATTACAGCCTTTAATCTGTTAGGATTTGTCTACTAAATTTGCACATCTAGACTTTGCAATTTCTGCCCACTCTTCTTTGCAGAACTGCTCAAGTTCAGTTAAATTTGATGGTGAGCATTTATGGACTGCAGTCTTCAAGTCATTCCACAGATTTTCAGTGGGGTTTTAGTCTGGGCTCTGACTAGGCCATGCAAGGACATTCACTTTTTCTCCTTCAGCCAATGTGTGCTCAGTTTTGCTGTGTGCTTTGGGTCATTGTTATGTTGGAAAGTAAACTTTCTTCCTCTAAAAGAGGGCAGCAGATTTTCTGCAATTTTAGATTTTCCTTCTATCCCAACAAGTGCTCCAGTCCCTGCTGCAGAGAAACACTCCCATAACAGTACATTACATTATTATTAATGCTGTTATTTGGATGGTGAGCTGTATTGGATTTCTGCCAGACATATAGTTTGATGTTGAGGCCAAGTAATTCAATATTAGTCTCATCTGTCTCAGAATCTTTAAGGTGTGTTTTGGTAAAGCTCAGTCGTGACTGCATGTGGCCTTTCTTGAGGAATAGCATTTTTCTTGCAACCCTCCCATACAAGCCACATTTGTGGAGAATTTGTTAGATTGTTGCCACATGCACACAATGACCACTCTTTGTCATAAATTCCTGCAGCTGTTTCAGAGTTGCTGTAGGCCTCTTGGTAGCCTCTCTTACTAGTTTCCTCCTGGCTTTTTCATCCAGTTTGGAGCGACGTCCTGATCCAGGGAGAGCCTGTGTTGTACCAAACGGGCGATTCTAGGATTTTCATTTTAGGGGGGCTCAGCCCCCAATGAGAGTATAATAATAATAATAATAGCCTAATAATAAAAATATATATATATAAAAAAAAAAAAGTTTGATTAATAGGGGTCGTATACTAAACTTATTGCAGTATTCCACTGTATTGCATAGAAAGGTATAACATTTGAGTACCGAATAAGCCAAATTCAAGTCTTCATGATCTCACACATACAACCTGTTTACTGTACAAACACAAAATTGTACTGTTTGCATTTCTAGTACAACCCTCTTTCCTTAGCTCAAGTATGCAAACCTCTTTGCCACATGTATGGGAATATGTATTATATTGAAAGTTAAATTTTCAAATGAATATGTCAACATGATCGTTTTATAAAGTATGCATTCATATGCGCTTCATTTTCGCTGGAGGAAACAGCTGTGGTGTGAT